AAAGCCAGTTCTGATTAATCTCCTTTGTCAGTGTGTCCTTTGCCATTCCCTATCACTCTTCCCTGAGAGAGACTTCACCCTGATTCATAAGGAAAAGGTGATGGCATATTCTCTTAGCTACTTCCTGCTGAAAAGGGACGCTGTAGGTTTCAGGATGAAGATCTTCTCTCACGGAGTTAGTATACTCTTAATGTCAAAGAACTCAGTGGTAGAATAAAACATACAACAGGCAATAAGTTTTTGGGTGGCTGGTTTTGTTTTTGCATTTTATCAAACTGATTTCTTAAAAATTTGCTGCTATGGACCTCTCCAAAGTACTGAAGATCAATGGTGTCACTCTGGAGACTAAGGTGCACCTGATACAGGCCATGGTCTTTGCAATCACTTGTCATGCGTCAGAGAGTTGGACAATGACTAGGGAGGATAGAAGGAGAATTGATGCCTTTGATCTGTGGTTCTGCAGAAGAGTATTAAATGTACCATGGACTGCTAAGAAAACGAACAGGTTCATCCTGGAGAGGGTTAAATTGAGCTGCTCCTTGGAGACAAGGATTCTGAGGCTTCATCTGTCATACTTTAGACATGCTGCAAGGAGACACCAGTCCTTGGAAAGGGACAACATGCTTGGGAGGGTGAAGGCACAGTGCAGGAGGGGAAGACACTCTATGAGGTGGATTGATTCAGTGACTGGGGTAATCGGGGTGGGTGTGTAGGAGACAGTGAGATCGGCTCTGGACAAAGAAGGATTTAAGGCTGTTGTACATAGGGTCACTATTAGTTGCAAGCAACTCGACAGCACATAACAACAACAACTAATTTACTTACAAAATTTGAATACATAGTTTTTGAGAACAAATTCTTTCCATTTCCCTCAACCCCCACCCCCAAAATTGTACAGCCCATGATTAATGTCCCCTTCCCCCTGCACATCCCCATCCCTCTTCTTCTAAACTCTCCCACCCCTCTTGGATCTTTATACTTATTCTACAATAATGGTTTTATATTAATTATTGTGGGACTGAGTTACTCCGCATAATGCTCACAAAATCATTGCTCCAGCATGCTGAATAGTATTCTAGTTTGCGAAAGTACCATAATTTCTCAATCTATTCATTTGTGTTTGTGGGCTGTTTCCCTGTATTTGCAATGGTAAATAATGGTGCTATGAACATTGATGTACAAGTCTCCATTTGTGCCTCAGTTCTTATTTTCTTATGGTGAATTCCAAGTAGTGGAATAGCTGGATCATATGGAATTTTATTTTACATCATATTCTTCCCATTTAATTTTTCCCCCCATTCATTCATTACTGCACATTTTTTTCCTGCCCACCCCTCGCCCCCCAGCTCACTTTTCTCTTTGAAAAGAAAAAAAAGTATTTCATTGTTATACAATACCCCTACCTCAGGTCCACAGTCCACTTTACTATGTATTTCTTTTTCTGGAATCTTGTCATGAAAATAATACCTAATCATATATTCCTTTTGAAGAGTTCTCTCCTTTGTCTGTTTCAATGCAGTATACATTATTTATCCCCTCTTTTCTAGACTCCCACCAACCCAGAGATCAGTCTGTTTTACAACACTGCCACTATGCAGTATTTGTCTTTTTGTGACTGAGATGTTTCACCCAGCATTATGTCCTCCAGGGTCACCCATTTTGTATAACGTTTCATGAGTTCCTTGTTTTTCAATGCAGCATAGTATTCCATTGTACAAACATACCACAGCTTCTCTATCCATGCGTTTGTTATGGGCACTTGGGTTGTTTCCAACTCTTGATACTGTGAACAAAGCAGCAATAAACATGGGTGTGCATATATCTGCTTGGGTGACATTTCTGATTTCTTTAGGATATATTCCCAGTTGTGGAACTGCTGAGTCAAATGGTTTTTCTACTTGTAACTTTTTGAGAAAGCGCCATACTGCCTTCCATAGTAGTTGCATGATTTTGCACTCCCACCAGCAGTGAATAAGGGTTCCAGTTTCTCCACAACCTTGCAAGCATTTGTTATTTGCTGCTCTCTCTTTAATTTTGCTACTCTTACTGGAGTGAGATGATATCTTATAGTTGTTTTGATTTGCATCTCTCTTAGAGCTAGGGATTTTGAACAATTTTTCATGTTTGTTCACCATCTGAATGTCTTCTTTGCTGAAGTGTCTATTCATAT